AGGACTGCCAACCACGTCCATCTCTACCACTGAGATTAAGCCCCCATGGGTGACAACTACAGGCATTCTTGTAATTTGGCACTTGAATCAAGCCCTTGTTGGAAGAGGGGCCATCCTAGGACTATTCGGTTCATATCACTCTGCTAAATCCCACCCCCACCCAACTCCTCAATAAGTGCCTCTACTATTTCCAGGCATAGTTCTAACCCATATACATGCTACATATCACAGCAGTTTCTTCTAATTACTCTGGCCTCCCTGAGAGAGCCAGAAAGATGTTTTTTCTTGGTATCTTCCTACCTCTTATTTTCAGCATTTTCCTTCCATTGTACCTTACAACATGTATTTATCACATGATCATGGGGACTTGAGAGTCTAAAAGTCACAGGGCAGGTTAGGGGGCTGGAAACTCAGGCAGGGATTGATGCTGCAGTTTTGAGGCAGAATTTCTTCTCTATGAAACCTCAGCTTTTGCTCTTAAGGCCTTCAACTGATTGTGTAAGGTCCACCCATGTTGTGGAGAGCAATGTGCTTCTCCTAAAGTCAACTGACGTAAATGTCAATCTCATCCACAAAAAACTTTGTAGCAACACTTAGATTAATGTTTTATTCAATAATTGAGTACTACAGCCCAGCCAAGCTGACACATAAAACCATGATAGCTTCTAATGTGTTCTGAGTCCTAGTCTCCACATAAAACACCTAACCTTCTTCTGGAAACATGACTCTTGCAGAGCACCTTCCCATTTCCTGGTGAGCCCATTTTCCTTGCTTGTGAGTGGGGGGTTAAGGGAATGAAAAACTAAAAAGCTCTAAATTTTGTGTCTTCTGGACAGAGTCTTGGGAGACTCTAATCTCCCAAGAAACAGTGAGAAATGACAGATTTGGATGAGGATGTGGCACCTGGTTAAACCTCCGTCATCCACAGACTATCTCCCTCCGAGAACACAAATTAACCTTATTGGTGTTTCAGCCACAGGCACTGCAACGGGGGATGATCTGAGACTTTTTTCCATTCTATATCAAAAAGTATAGCTAAGGGTCTGCTCTGCTTTGGCCAAAGTGCTCACTCTTACCCTTGCATATAACTTGTTATCATGATCTGGTGAACTGAGTTTTGCATCCACGCCATTCAGGACTAACTGTTTTGGTGAAACTGGGCAAGAGGTGGCAGAATTAAAAAAAAAAAAAAAGGGGGGGGTCATTTCAGAAAAAGAATAATATTACTTTCCCCAAATTACCAATTCTCCTTCTACATACAACATACAAATAAAGCCTTTGAATTATTCATGCTACGTCAGTCAAAACTCTTGGTGTCAAAGATGTGCTAATTCAGGCCTACTCCAAACAGATCAGTCTGCCCCCGGGGGGGCCCCTTTTCCTTCATTACTCCCCCATCAAGGTACATTAAATAGGCTTCCAAGATAATTGGGTGATTTGAGTTCACACTTCTAAAACTTACAAATATCCTTTTCGAATGTGCTATGAAAGTACCTTGGAAGAGTAATTAAAGACTTAAAAAAAAAAATGCTGGAAGCCAAAAGGAAAAAAAAAATCAATGAAAGTGTTCTAATTTGAGTATCTTATTCCTTAAAAGCAAGAAGTGTTCTATTTTCCCACTTTCCCAAAAAGTGTTCAGCTTTTTGACTCTGGGCTGCCTAGAAATTCAAGTGTCCCCTCCTTAACTAGATTAAAAGCTCTTTGAGAACACAGAAAATGGCTTCTACTTCTTTAATAGTGCAATGCTGGGCACTCAGGGGACCAAAAGACACAAAACTGACTAAATAAAAGAGCCAGAATTCATCACTGAAACCAAGAAACAGACTGTGTGCATTTTTTCCTTTTAATTCCAGTACCTAATCTAGAATCCTAAAGAGTGCTGACTTGGGAGGCTGCCCTTAGGCATCTGTAGACACTTAGCATGTTTCTACTGCTTCAAAAAATATACTATTGTTCTATTCAGAGCATCAGTATAGTAAAATAGCCTAGCAACAAACACTGACTTGCTTCATGTCCTTGAAAAACCACATAGGAATAACAAAGGAACCTCATACAGCCCTAAGGTCTGGCCACCCCTGCAACAAGAGCATAATGAACACTCGTTACACTGAATTTGAGATGTGCCCAGCAGTCTTTTTTGAGTTCAAAGTGCTTAATCTCATTAGCTATCAGATACCATGTCTAATCCGATGTTCAGACTCGTGTCTGCTGTGTAATTGGGTTCAATGCGTATATTTAACAATAAAGCAGGTATGGGCCCCATAGAGAAGTTAGATGTCCTTGAAGAATCCATTAACTAACTCAGGAATAGAGGGTGAGAAACCAAACCTCACACGTTTCCAATTACAGGGCTGGAAAACACACCAGATCTAAACCTAACCAAACTTCTGGACATAATGGTGTCACAGCTCAACACCTGCCCTAATGTTCTAAGGAATCCTACACAATAAGCATTTAATTCATCCATTCATTCACTGGATAAGCACTTATGGAATGACCCTCTACTGTATACTAGTTGTGCTGGATGCTTGTTGGAATGACTGACGCAGATGATAAACTCAGTCCCTGCTCTCATGGAGTCTAGTATCCAGATGACTCTGATGAAAAATGTCAGATAGTGACAACCTGTGTGGCTCAGTCGGTTAAGCATCTGCCTTCAGCTCTGGTCATGATCCCAGGGTCCTGGGATCAAGTTCCACATTGGGCTCCCTGCTCAGTGAGGAGCTTGCTTCTCCCTCTCTCTCTGCCCCTGCTTATACGCTGTCAAATAAATAAATAAAATCTTTTAAAAAAAAATGGCAGACTAATCGATTTTAGTTGAAAAGATAATTGACATTTTATTTTTATTTCCTGGAATCCCAAATTAGTATCATTATTTCTTTAGTCTTTCATTCCAGGAACTTATTTCTCACTCTACCTCACTCAGTCCGGCCCCTTCTCCCCCAGTGTATCCCAGACATTCCATTCCACTCCGTGCACTCCCAATTGTTCTGTGACTTTCCCAGACTGCACACTGCTGAAAAGGGAGGCAAAGGGAAACCTGCAACCACCGAACACCTATCACATGCCAGCCTACCCCTGTGCTAAGTCAAAACTGAAGCATCTCATTAATCCTCCCAATAATTCTCAGAGGTAGGCGTTCGAGTTTTCCCTACGGATGAGGACAGAGAGGCTTGGAGAGAAGTAAACAAGAGGGAGGAATGGATCAGTAACAGAAGTTGGCTTCAAAACTGGAATTACTGACCCAGAGGCCCGTGCTCATCGAGGATCCTGATCAAGGAGCCTGCACAGAAGAGGCTGGGGGTCATATTCTACAATCCTCATTCTACGTCATCCTATACGTTTAGTCATTTACTGGCTATGTGGGGTCAGGTGCAGCACCTAATGGCTTTGAGTCTAAGCCTCAACGTCATCCTCTGTACACAGGTGAGATAGGAACCGCTACGACTTGGCACTCCCGGCACGTGCTGGGCACTAGTGATCAAGACGATGCTGACATTTGCCTCACTAAGGTCAGAAGAAAGAAGACGGTCATGAGACTCTTCCTACAGACAGCTGCAAATGCCCACTCACAGCAGCACCTTGAGACAGATAGCCCATGCCCCAGGACAGCCCTGGCTTGCAACGATTCAGATTATTTTTACTTTGCAAGTCAGAAATTTTTTTTTAAAGAGAAGTTTCCTCCGTAAATGCATTTGGTGCTAGTTTGCTCAAACATGTCTTCAGAGAAAAATGTTAACACTTAAGATGAAGAAACCAGGAGAGACAGGACAGGCAAGATGATCACCACAGTATTCTGTGTTTCCCATAAGCAGGTGCTGGTTTATAGGTATCCCATGACCCTTGTAGGAGTTATCCTCCTGCAGTCCATGCACCTAAGCATTTGACTACTCAAGAAAGTGATCTGAGAAGTAAAGGACCCAAACCCAGTTTAAAAGATATTAGTTCTACAACATTTCAATGTAATTATTATTTATTTAGACATCCCACAGGTGCCATGACTGCATAATTCTATGTTCTGCTGTGGGCTCAGGAAATGACTGGGGTTTAATGCAGTTTAAACAAGCCCTAACAATTCCCCATGCGGCATGACCACCCCGATTCGTCCTTTCTCTAGGCATCTTAAACTATTTCTCAGGCATGACCACACAACACACTCCCGGGGGAAGGCAGGGGGAGCGCTGTGTGCATCCCTTTACAAATAAGCCAGGTGAAACCTACAGGGAACTGGTGACTTGTCTGAAGACCACACAACTGTTCAGAATTGAAGAGCATGGCAGCACTGGAACCTACATGCTGAACGGGCACCGAGGGTCCATGGCTGAAGGAGACGAGCTCTGGGCAGCAGAGTGGGCTGGGCAAGAGAGGCAGGAAGGCCCACACTAACCCACACACACGAATGTTGTCTCAGGATTACCACACTGTCCTGCTGCCCACCTGTGAGTTCTCAGAGATCCAGACATTTGAGAAGGTGGGAGGATGGCTGCCACCATGCCGTGCCCTCTCCTCAGTATCCATGGTGTGCCTCCCACTCCCAAGTTTGTATGAGAATTTCCTTCACCCCCTTTTATATTCATGCAATCACTCCATATTCATCCAAGTTTCTGGTTATTCTATTAGCGACTCTGTAATGGATCCCAAATATTGGAATTAAAGGTAGCTATCAGTCTTGAGCTACACACACTTGAAATCCTGTGAACCCAAAAATAAGATTTAACTCCGTGAAGAACAAAAGCAATACTCCACTGAATTACCAGCAGTCACATCTATAATACATTCACAAGCACTTCTTTAAAAATATCATACCCCTGACTGGCATATAACTGTAGATTCTTTTAAAACATAATTATTCTTTTGGCCTCAGTCAGCGATGCCTCAAGTTTACAGGCAACACCTGCTAGGTGCAATTTCCTAACGGACTGCTTGCCACTCCCTCCACTTCCTCGATGACACAACCCTCACCACTCACTCAGAGCACCGGAGTGAGAGACCACACCCACCTTTGCCCAAACATCAGTGTTGACTTGGTCTCAGCCTCATTGAAGACAGAGGGAGAACAGCAAATAACGATGGTGGTTCTACAGTTCCCACCCAGAGAGTCCTGAAGAATCCGAGTCATCTTGCTGTCCCGGTATGGCACGTGTGTTTTCTATTTAGGAAAAAAAAAAAGTATTGGCTATTATAGCCATTGTCCATTCACAGAGAAAACACAAGCAAGTTAGCAAAGGGGACACCGGACCTAGAAACATGTGTAAAGCAATTTGTTGCCCAGTCCTTGGATTTGGCCAAAGTTTAGAGTGCCCAGTCTGGGGCCTGGGGAAATTAGCATCACCATTCACACATTTTAATAGACTAGATCTCCCAGCAAGTAGGATGTCTACAGCCAGGATTCCCTCTGTTCCTTTCCAAAGAAAAACAAACTAATCTCTGGGATATGTGGCAAAGAGAGTACACAGACCCAAAAAGCGACTTCTCATAACATCATTCAATAGATGGGGATAGGATCACTTACTGTCCCTTCTGCCAAGGCCGAGATCACGTTTCCAAGAGCAGACAAAGATTTATTGATATTTTTAGCTTCATCAAGAACAGCTCCCTCGGCACCAGTCTTGCTGACCTACCAGAGAGAAGAGAAAGCAGTGAGCTGCGCAGGGCAGCAAAAGCACAGAGCAGAAAATTCCAATTCACGGGAGGGCACAGGGCTGGGGATTGAGGGAGGCCGATGTGAATCCTCCTGGAACGCAAGACAAAATAAAAGTAAGTAAGAATCATGTTGATCAAACCTTCCCTTGTGCCTAAGGCTGGGGATTTGTTCTGTCTTGTTGTCATTTTCCTCTCAATTAGGTTTTAGGGGAATGGCTGAAACGCCTCTAGTGGTAGAGAGGCAGATGCTTCCCTGGGGGACATCCATCGAGGGAAACCAGGCTCCAAGAGTGCTGTCACCACCAGAAAGGCTGGGGCCCTGCACGCCTGAGCCACAGCCTCCTCACCAGAGGGAGCCCAGGGGGAAGCATGACACGAAAACACCATCCTGGCCACAATGAATGGACATACTGGGCAAGTGTACATTATAAGCTCCAACTTCAGGCAAAGACAAGAGGTGGTGGGAGGTTGTCCCTGCCTGACTGACTCTGTTCCCTGACTTACTGACTCCAATAGCAAGGAGAAAGGGAATGACCGTCCAAAAGGCAAGATACTCGGGGGCATCAAAGTCAAGAAAGTGTATGTTACGTGGTAGACTTGTCTTTTCTCCTCTGCAGCCAGAGGGACCACATACAGTCCCTCCTCTGCTGCGTTATTCCTGGCAATTTCCTACTGACAGCGTCTGCTCTAGGTAGAGAGCAGTTCACAGATCCTTGGGAGAGAGGCAAACCCACGTGCTCCCTGGCTCGGCTGGTCGGCCAAGCAAGGCAGGAGGAGCAGTTGCTCTTGGAAGAGAGGAAAGCAGGGAAGGGATCGCAAACTGTGCAAAGACCGCCAGCCACAAGGGATAGAAACGAACACGTGTCCGGGGGCAGTGTTTTCAAACACTAGAGATACTCCTCTCTCTGAGAACTGTGTGTGTATAGACACCACTGCTGACAGAGAAATAATACAGCTGCTGGGTCCCCAGCGACAGCCTATTCACACAGCATGCTTTAAGGTGCTTTCACATCGGAGCACCTTAACTCCATGAAATATACAAGACAGGGACAACTGCCTTCCATTTACAGACATGGAAACTTTGAGCTCCAGAAAGGTCCACCGGCAGCCCAAGGCAAGAACGCCACGTACGGGAGCTGGAGATTAAAGCCCGGAGTTCGTTCTAGTAGATCACAGTGACACATTCATGTGGACACGTCTAGGGCAAAGGAGTACAGATGTGAGCAAAAGAAACAAGGTACAGGACCACAACTGTAAAGTGCCTATATCCTAAGCAATAACCACGACACTGTGCAGAGGACAGGCCCGCACACTCGACTGCCAGCACCAAGCTGTTTCCAGCAGCACACAGGCCCAAGTGTTCCTCTCTGTGCTTGAAAGGGAAAGAGAGCAAACTCGGAAGCACAAAGCGGCCACTACGCTCTTTCCCCAGACCCACATAGCTGTTGTGGCAGCAAGACGAGGCCTGGTTGCCAATGTCCAGGCGAGAACTGAATGATGCTGTTCTGTCTTTCCATTCTGGTGCATGTCTGTTTAATTACAGTTATAAACTTGCACCCATAAAATGTTAGATACCCAGCCAGATCATTTTCCAGGAACATCCTGGAACATGACTCTGCTCATGGCTTTACAGATGTGTACAGGAGAACATTTCAAGTAGCCATTACTTACGCAGATGTTAGTGGCCATAACTTGGTGTATCACAACTGAGCAGTGGAGAACAGTAAGTGGGGATCAATTACAGAGTCCAGGAGACTGGCTGAGCCTCAGGGCTGGCCTCTGGGGCCAGTCAGCACAGTGTCAGTGATGACAGAGGCCACGTGGTATTGTGTACAGGGACTTGCTCTGTGACGTCACCGGAGGGGAGCAGTGCCCCCAGAAAGAGTGTGGCAGCAGGAAGCTCTGGCAGTGCTATGGAGGTGAGGCTGGGAGGGGGTAGCTAGGAGGTTCTTTGCTCTAGAGTATGGCCTCAGCCAGTGCCTAGGAAAGCATGGGACAGATGCCAAAAGAGAGCCCCGACAAAACCAGAGAAGGGGCAGGGCTTTTGACCTGCCTACTGGCCTACTGGCCTCCTGGCCTGAAGAAAGTGAGTCTGCCCACCGGAAGCCCTGTCAGACCACACCCACCACAGACAGAAGCAGAGAACCCAGGGACAGCCCCAGGTTCCAGATCTTCTGTCAGCAAACAAACGTGTGGGGACAGGACAGTTATAGTCCAATGGCAAAGTCTGTTTCTGGCCTATTTGAATCTGGTGCAACATGCGGATCTTCCCTTTCAGCAAACGGACACATCCCTCCCCCATTTACACAACAGCCTCTACCAGGCTAAGCACACACCAGCACTTGCCTAATGTCCTCATTGGGGCCTATTAAGCATAAATCCGAGTTGGCATTCAAAGCACCTCCTGTGTCGTGAATAGGGGACTTCAGGACCAGAAAAGAGAGCAGAGAAATGAAGGTGAAATTTAATATTATCTTGGCACAATACCAGAAACTTTAAAAGCTCTTTAAAACCAGGGAATGGAAAGAGTATAAAAATTATACCATTGCACGCTGAAGCAAATAATAGGGAAAATTATAGATAATACAAATAAGGAACCAATTACCTTTTCGCTCCCAGCCAAATCAACTAGATAAAGCTTCCCACTGAGCTTTTTTTCCGTCTCTACATTCTCTTGTTTAATATTAATCAGGAAGATACTGTGACTTCTAGAGCTGTGTTCATTCATGTCTGAAAAGGAAAATAGTTTACTGTTCTGCAAAGAATAATAAGTTTAGGTAGCAAGCCTCTCATCTAAAAACCACAACAAATCATGCTCAATATAGCTCCACTTTTTAAAGTAAGTCCAGCCAATTTTAAAAAGTATCTGAGACCACGGTTTCTTTTAAAAAAAGACGAGAGATTTAAAGTATCTTCACATGACAAAGAAATTAAGAATCTTAGTGGATGGTTCAAGATAACAGATTCTCTAGCTTTGCCTGAAGCCCCCATGTTTTGGAACATCTCATTCCAGCCGGATACTTGGCCTCACAGAGCTCACACCTGGGGTGCCTGGGTGCCTCGGTCGGTTAATTATCTGCCTTCAGCTCAGGTCATGATCTAAGGGTCCTAGGAATCTAGCCCTGTGTCGGGCTTCCTGCTCTGAGGGGAGTCTGCTTCTCTTTCACCCTCTGTCAACCCCCTGCTTGTGCTCTCTCACTCGTGCTCTCTCACTCGTGCTCTCTCACTCGTGCTCTCTCCCTCAAACAAATAAAATCTTAAAAAAAAAAAAAAAAAAAAGAAAGAAAGAAAGAAAGAAAGAAAAGAACAAAGAGCTCACAGCTTCCTTCCCCCTCACCTTCAGTCTCTCAGGCTTTGTCTTTATGGTTAGAACCCAGTGTATTCCGTATTTGTCATATGTGCAAGTCTTGCCTTATCCATAATATCACAAGCTTTCTTAAGGAAGGATTATGACCTTAAGATTTAAAACTTCTTTTTTTTCTTTAAATACAGTTCTATAACCCATACTAGGCACACAAAAGATCTCAAAGATTAAATATGCTTCATCAGTACCAAGTACTAGAAATAGAAATCTTTTTGGACCCTGGTCTCTGTTAACTAGGCAGGGAGAGATCTCAGTGATGGTCTCCTTCAACCCCTACAAGCAATCATTTCTTAAAACCAACTTTTGAGGCACCCTTGTTCAAGATGGCTGAAGACTAATGCTGGACCTCCAGATCATGAGTCGGGGTGCAGGACTCAAAGAGGAATATCTTCATACTTTATCTACATACTTATCCAGTATGTAGAAAACAACAAGAATGTAGACAAAGATTGATTCCAACTAGAGTCCAACAAGGAAGGGCCTCAGAGTTTTGGAAAATGCTGGTATATCCATGATCTCCTCAACTATGAGTCTGACATGATGTTTGACATTCCTATCACATATCCCAGATATGTAATTTCTGGAGCAATATTCTATATAGAATATTGCTCCAGAAATTACAGCCCCTGAACTCAATGGAAAAACAGCAAAGATATACATGGGAGGCAAAATGTGCCTAACCAATCACTTTAAGCCTTTGTGGGCCAGGAATGTGCCCAAGTTTGGACTAGCTCATCTCATGGCTCTGGGGCTGTGTCCATGGCTGGTAGTGGAAATCCCCTATTTGATTCAGAAAGGTGTGATCTGGTGTGAAGAGAAATGCAACCAGTGAAGGATCAAGCCACTAAGGGAAGACAGAAGGACTTTTGATAGACTATGTTCTATTCTCTGTGCATCACTCTTACTCACCCAACTTCTTCCCCTCATACCCTTCACCCATAATTGCTACTAAGTAGCTGCATCAGGCATTTCTGAAAAAAATAAACAACAGTATTGCTACTGAATTTCTAAGACCACAGAGGGAGGGGAAAGACTGGGGCTTTGGAAAACCAAAAGGCAATTTATATCTCTTCCTTTCCCCCAGGTGGAGCAGTGTGAGATCCAGGAAGGACAGGAGGTGCTGAAAGTGGGCACATAGTCTTTTTGGTTTCTGGAGGTAATTTGTGAATAAAGGCTGCTTCCTCTGGTGGCCCGCCAAAAAATCTTTCCAGGATATATGGGGGAAAAAGTTAAAGATTACACAAAAATTATGTTGGAATTAATAAATGAATTCAGCAAAAGTTGCAGGATACAAAAGCAATACGTAAAAAACAGTTGCATTTCCATATACTAACAATATACAATCTGAAATGAAAATAATTCCATTTAAAATTTTGACAAAAAGAGGTACACCTGGCTGGCTCAGTCTGTTAAACATTCGACTATTGATTTTGGCTCAGGCCATGATCTCAGGGTCATAAGACTGAGCCCGGCGTCAGGGTCTACCACTGCTTGGGATTCTCTCTCTGGCCCCACCCTGACTAACGCACTCTCTCCCTTTCTCTCTAAAATAAATAAATGAAATAAAATATCAACAAAAAGAGTAAGGAAGATACTTAGGAACAGATTTAAGCAAGGAAATAAAAGAAATCTATGTTAAAAACTACAAAATGAGGGGTGCCTAGCTGGCTCAGTCAGTAGAATATGCGACTCTTGATCTCGAGGTTAAAAGTTCAAGCCCCATGTTGGGTGTAGAGATTACTTAAAAACAAATAAAATCTTCTAAAAATTTTAAAAAGAATAAAAACTACAAAATGTAAGAAGACACCTCTATGTGGGAAGACATTCCTTGTCTATGGATCAGAAGACTTCACATCGTGAAAATGTCAATACTACCAAAAGTGATCTAGAGATTTAATGCAATCTGTATCAAAATCCTCATCGTATTTTTTGCAGGAATAGGAAAGTCCATTTTAAATTCCTATGGAATCTCAAGGAGCTCTGAACAGCCAAAACAATCTTGAAAAAGAACACTGGAGGTCTCACACTTACTGATTTCAAAACTTACCATAAAGCCACAATAATCAGACAGTGTGGCATTGGCATAAAGGCAAACACAGAGATGGACCAATGAGAGCCCAGAAATAAACCCTCACATAAAAATGGTAAAATAATGTTCAACAAGAGTATCAAGACCATTTGACGGGAAAACAACAGTCTCTTTACTAAGCTGAAAACTGTATATCTACATGCACAAAACATGAAGCTAGACTCTCATACTAACTCAAAAACAATCAAAAACCTAAATGTAAAAGCTAAAACAATAAAACCTAGAAGAAAACATAGGGGACAACTTCACAACACTGGATTTGGCAATGATTTCTTGGAAATAATACCCAAACCACAAGTGACAACAGTAAAAAACAGATATATTGGACTTGATCAAAATTTAAAACTTTTACTCATGAAAGGACAGCACCAACAGAATGAAAAGGCAACCCACAAAATGAGAGAAAATAAATATTCACAAATCGTATATCTGATAAGGAACTGAGATCCAGAATACACGAAGAACTTCTATAAATCAACAAGAAAAAAAAACCCAATTATAAAATGAGCAAAGGACCTAAACAGACATTTCTTCAAAGACAATGTACAATGACCAATACGCATATGAAAAAAATGCCATATCACTGGTCATTAGTGAAATGCAAACTGAAACCACAGTGACATAACCCTTCACACCCATTAGATTAGTATGGCTGTTAAAAACAAAAATAGAAACTAAGCAGCATTGGCAAGCATGTAGAGAAATTGAAACTCACATACTCTTGTTGGCAAGAATGTTAAATGGTATGCAACTACAACGTTAAACTATGTTAAACAATGTGATAGTTCCCAAAAAAATTAAAAGTAGGTTGACATATGATCCAGCAATTCTGCTTCTGTATATATACGCAAAAGAACTGGAAACAGAAATTTCAACATCCATGTTCACAGCAGCACTATTCACAATAGCCAGAAGGTGGAAGCAACGTTAAGTATCCACATGTCTATATGTGGGTGAATGAACAATGTATGTAGCATATACCTACAATAGAATATTCTTCAGCATTTTAAAAAGGAAATTCCGACACATGCTACAACACGGGTGAACCGTGAAGACATTATGCTACATGAAATAAGCCAGTCACAAGAGGACTTCTATCATTCCACTTATATGAGGTACCTAGACTTATCCAGTTTGTTGGGACACAAAGTGGTAAACCAGTTACCAGGGGTTGGGAGGAGGAAGTATGGGGAGGTATTGTTCAATGGGCATGGGGTTTAGCTTTGGGATGATTAAATTCTGGAAATGGACAGTGATAATGTTTGCACAACACTGTGAATGGAATTAATGCCAGTGAACTCTACCTTTAAAAATGGTTAAAATGGTAAGTTCTATGTTATGTGTAATTTTAAAACCACCTTATCAGAATAGTAAGAAAAATAATTAATGTTCTACACCTACAGTTCTGAACCAAGGGCCAAGATGGATTGTCAAGTATGCTGTGAATAATTTAAGACTAAAAATAGCTTTAGAAATCAAATAAATAACTTCTTTTTTTGTGAGATTTTATTTATTTATTTGACAGAAAGAAAGTGAGATCAAAATTAGGCAGAGCAGCAGGCAGAGGAAGAGGGGGAAGCAGACTCCCTGCTGAGCAGGGAGCCTGATTCGGGGCTCGATCCCAGGACTCTGAGATCATGACCTGAGCCGAAGGCGGAGGCTTAACCCACTGAGCCACCCAGGCGCCCCTCAAACAAATAACTTCTTTATAAACGAGACGCTATTACTATGAGAATATCAGCCTTATGTGGAAGCAGAAGAGAAAGACATGGAATTTAACCTATGCTGTATACATGTCTAGGCTCACCTATAAAATCTGCCACACATGTGAATATCATCTGATAGGATGCTGGGGTAGAGGAAAGGTCGAGAATTACAGTATTGGATGACAGAATCACAGAGCCTTTGGTAGAAGAGACTTAGAGAGGCTAGACCAGTCAACCAACCGATGCTTCCATCTCTTGCATGCCACACAGGGAACCCGCCCCTCCAGGTAGCAGGCTTTCCTGGGGGCATCTCTCAGGAGCAGGGAGCTCTCATGGTCAGTCAAAACCTACCTCTTGGTAGCTTCAACAATCCTGGGTGGCCTACCTATGTGGTTCATACAAAGCAAACCGACTTTATGCATATCAGCACCGTGAACATGTTAAGAAATATATTACACTGTCCCTATGTTCTCCTCAGAGTTTTTCTTTCTTCCAAGCTAGAAATCCCTAGCTCTTCCTATGAACTCCTTCTGACTTGTTCATATTCCTCAGAAGGAGACAGACAGCCCAAAGACGGGGGGCCAGAGCTGCTGCCGCTCTAACAACATCAGACCCACTTCCTGGAGATCCGTGTGCACGCCAAGGAAGGAACTGCAAGGTCAACACGCCAGCCTGCATGTGTTTGTTACTAACACAGCAAAGGAAGGTTTCCAATGAGGCTCCAAGCTCCACTTTCTGAGCTCCTTGCTTTTCTTTTCCTTTTTTACAGAGGACAGAAATCTAAAGAGGTTTCCTTCCACACATATGGCTAGCATATAAAATTTGTTGGCTTGCATTTTCTTTAACCTGAATAATAATGTGGTTAAAATACATTTAGAAGCTGGCTTGTAGTCCCCTTTCCTTGGCTGATTATTGATGGTTTCCTGATGGTTTCCCCCAGGGTCCAGAGGGAGGGGGCTACCAGGGCCCAGCGAGCCTCACCTAGCATTCCCGAGAGCTTCCTGCATGGCAGAAGGCATGCCTCCCTCAACCTGCTGAGACACTCTCGTGCTGCACACTCCCGTGTGCTTGTGTGCTTGCTTCTGGGCCACTATTTTATAATGCCTTCCCTGGCATTATTTCCTAGTGGTCCCAAGGAAATACACTTGTATCCCAAGTGACAGGGTTTGAGAAAACACCACCCACACTTACTTGTGACAGCCACATGTCGGTTTGCTTTGCCTTCATCTATCACATCCATGACCTCCTCAGGGCTTGACACAAACCGCTCGGTACACCCCTGGAAGAAAGTCAGATCAGGTTCACCATTAGAAACTGGAAAGCAACTCTATTTGAAGACAGTTAAACATTCTCCCATTTTTCCTCAAGAGGTGCAGGATAAGAAAAAGGCTGCCATGTGGATCCAACAGCTCTTCCTCCTTGCTTATGGCTTGAGTTCTACATCAAAGAGGAGTCTGCTAAAACCCTAAGAAACCCAGAAGTAAACCAGAAAAGAAATGTCCCCTTTTTCCTAGATGTTTAAGTACCTGTGCATACTCAACAGCAGTAGAAACAGAAAATAAAGAAAATCAGGGACAGAAAAAGAAATGGATGAAATTTTGCTTTGCTTTTCATGTGAGCCACCAACTTTAATTAGTCACTTTGAAGTTCTAGGCATAATGCTATGATAGGCTTCCTCTCCCTGCGAAGTATACACAATTATCTCCACTATCAAAGCCTCTTTACATGTGAATAATATCTGTTCACTTCTCCACTTCTTACTCATGTGATTAGACCTCTGTGACACATTCACACACAGATATGACTGTAGAAATTAAATGTCTATTTTTTATCCAGATGAATATTAAATATAAAGAACATGATGAAGCACCTACATACACTCTAAAACAATATTCTGGGCATATTTTATAACAGTGCTGGGAGAGAAGTCAATGGCATCATCAAGTTTTCCTCATACCTTTACATACGGGACTCTGTTTTTATCTTCATGAACAGCCAAGTTCGTCTTGGATACTGAAAATAAGGATGACATAAGGCAGAGGAGAAAAGAAAAGTTAAAGATTCTGTACTGGAGGAAAAAGAGAAATTGTTACCAAAGATACGCAAATCTAATAATCTCTTTAAGCCTTGGTTGAGAATAAGCAGATAGCATAAAGGTAATAAAACATCTCTATAAATTTTCATTAATTCCTTAAGCAGAAGAGCTATGAATCACTTCAACCTCCCTGGACCTTGTTAAAGAACAAATAGAGGACAAACATTCAGGTTACTCACCATCGAGTAAGTCCCTGATTTTATCCAAGTAGATCTCAAAATAGGAAACCTAGTTAAAAACAAATTGAGTTTGAAACAGAAATGCCATGCTGTATTTCAAGAATGTCATTATTAGAACTCATAAAAGCCTTTGTCATGCACAGCTAAGAAGAGCAGGAAGGGGGGGCAGAAAACTGGATTCGGAGGCCTGCAGCAGAGCCCCAGTCAACTCTCTGCGCTCTCCTGCTTCCTGCTATGTCAGCCTGCTCTGAGGGCCCCTGCCCAGGGTGGACCCCGCCCCGCAGTACAGTGGGTCTTGTGGTCTGTGGTCTTGATTCAGGTGCTCCTTACACCGTGCCCTAGACAACCATTTACAGATGGACTCTACCCTTCACCCTTGATGAGCACCAAGCAAACTTCTAGGTAGGACAAAGCCTGGAACAGAAAACGTTCTTGGCGAGTAATTGTTGAAATCAGTTGGCATCTCCTCATGCAGGACGTTGACCCCCTTACCAGACCAGGTCCAAAACATTCACATGAAGGAAGTGGGGACGGGGATACGGCTGCTGATGGTGGCCAGCTTTGGGGAGGCCAGAAAGGGTTGGAACAAAATGGGATTTAATGAGAGACAGACTGACTGGGAGAGGGAAAGGAAGCCTTCTAATCGGGTATTCTCAGAGCCCAATCCCAGCCCCACCTGCATCAGCATCACCCACAGCCTTTGTTGAAACTGCAAAGGTGTGAACCCAACTGCAGAACTCCTAATCAGAATCTCCAGGAACTAAGGAATTGGCTTCCAAATTCTCTAGGTGGTTCTTATACTACCTGACACCTGAGAACAACTTTAACTAGACATGTGACCGTGGAGGTTTAATTCACATATAACTAGGACTATAGGCCTCAGTTTTCCCATCTGTCAAATGAAGCCATTGGACTTAATGATGTAAAAAATTCTCTCTAGGATTCTGCACTCTGTCTACACTTGCCTTCCACCTCCCAGATCAACTTTCTTTCTCTCATGTTCATGGGGTTTTTTTGAAACCTAAACAAAAGAATCAACAAACAAGCTGTTAAGAAAAGAAGTTGAAAAAAAAACAATTGTAAAGCTGGGGTGTAACTCAACAGGTGAAACTTCACCCCTGCATCCCAGCCTCACCCCTGCGTCTTGGCTCTGGACCTCTGGTCAGGGGCAGTGAAGCCTCCCCAACCCAGCACTAGTCCTCACCCCTCAGCCCAGTTCATTACTTAGTCTGTGTCCTGGAGCCTCCTGACTTCCCAGTTTCTCTGGGATCTGGGGTCTTGGCTTCAAACACTGGAATGTGTCGCTGGGCATCCTCTCCAAGTTGCCCGTCTGCCTAACAACCTGATCTTGCCACATTATCTGTCAAACTCCCCAGTCACCAAGTGGCGTGCGTCATAAACAGACCTAGCTGACCTTGGAAAGACTCACTGCTCCTGAAAACTTCTCCCTGTGGCTGAAATCCTAGGGTCTGTTTGGCCTCTAATCTTACACATTTCTAATTCAGCCTCCTGGTAGCCAACTATGGTTCCAATGGTTCCAAACCATTCTGTGCATCTCAAAATTGTCTAGTTTTCACTAAGACTTCTGTTATCTAAGAGATGTACACATGTGTCCTTATTTCCACAGATTGCAGAGAAATTAATTACACTAAAAAGGGGTCAAAAATTACATATTAGCAAATACAGCAATTAAAATCCGATTCACATTTAATATGAGAAGAGAAAAACCCCTCTGATTTATTAATTTATTTTTACCACAGAAGATACTGGCTGTTTTCAGGGCATGGGGAGGGACAATTGTGGTTTTGTGCGTGTGTGTGTGTGTGTGTGTGTCATTTCAAATACTTTGTGAGACCAGGTGGAAGAAAAATAAATATGTGTTGTTTTGCATTAAGAAAATAACGTTCAGAAATAACGTTTAAAGCCTCTATGGGGCTCACTTTAAGGAACAGATTTTCAAAACTGCTTTAATCAAGCCTCTTTTTCTTGATTAAGCCCGTCACCACTCAGTTCAAAACAAGGAACAGTCAATAGCTAGTCTGCCCACTTGCAATTATGATCTATGAAGTAAGTGAGCATAACTACAAACGCAGAAGAGGAAGCCGGGTGTAAAATTCAGCCCTGAAGACTTGGGTGCTCTTCCTTCTCCTCCTGACCCCCCCCTTTAGCCCCCCGCCATGCTGGGGCAGTTTTTATTTTAATAAGATTCTAATACAAGACCCTATTTTGAGGGCAGTAATTGGTTTAACATCTTACTCCAGGATTATCCCATAAGAACCCTACAGGAGTTGAAGGTATTTAAATACAAACAGCCTTAAAGATGGACTAAGCTCCTAAATCTTGATCCCATCAAAGCCAGAGGCTTCTGTATCCTCAGATATAAAGAACCCTGGCAAGGAGGAGAAACCTGTGTTAACCAACAAAGGGAGGGAAAAGATTTGTGAAGTAAAAAAGTCTTTTTTTTTAGATTAGATAAAAATCTAATTTATGAAGGGCAAACAGCTGTTGCCTTGTATTCATATAATTTAGGAAAGGTACATAGCAGAAGTAAGGGCAGAAGTTTAAGATAATGAAAGAGGTGCCGCACATAGGTTGGTCAGATCAAGAGTCTAATCTCAGCTCTGTGATCATGGTTGTACATTTTTGGAAATACACTAAAAACCATCCAACTGTACACTTCAAAAAATGAACTTTATGGTACATGAATCATATGAGTTATATCTCAATTTTTTAATTTAAAGATATTTTTAAAGGGGGGGTCTGGATTTCTTGCTTTTCTACAACCCCTGCGCCCCATGCCTACTAATAAATTTTGTATCTTGTAACAACTTCCTCTTTTTGCTTAAACAAGTGACTTTCAGTCATATGAAAACAAATGAGTTCCAATGAATGTATCCCTAATATCCAATGTTATAAATTAACAGCTATAATTAAGAGAAAAAAATTCTTTCAATTCAAATTTAAGTTGCAACGAGGTTCTGGCTTAAAAACAAAAACAAGGGACACCTGGGTGGCTTAGTGGGCTAAGCCTCTGCCTTCGGCTCAGGTCATGATCTCAGGGTCCTGGAATCAAGCCCCGAATCGGGCTCTCTGCTCAGCAGGGAGCCTGCTTCCTCCCCTCTCTCTGCCTGCCTCCCTGTCTACTTGTGATCTCTCTGCCAAATAAATAAATAAAATCTTTAAAAAAATAAAATAAAAAATAAAAACAAAAACAAAAACCAGGAAGGATAACGCCCTTCACCAACACTTGTCAGAGCATACTCCTCAAAACACTAGTCCTCAAGAGGGGAAAAATACGAACACAGTCAAATAAGCTGGAAAACATAATCTGCTACATGTCCCCTTTGTAGAACTGGATTACATAATAGCATATTTAACCTGTGATGAATTTAACATTGTTCAACAAAACATTTTCCCAGCTTATTTGGCCCCATTAGCCTTTTCCCTGATAGGCCACCTATTAATAATATGAGGGACTGTGTTCCATGGAACACACTTTGGGAAATGCTGTCCTAACCCAATCATGGACACATTCCAGTCATATCTACAGAGATCCACTGGGTAAAGGGTAGAATTCAGATAACTATCCAGATGATTCTATCCTAAATAAGGTTTTTATTTTACTTTGATATTTCCTCAGTATTCACCTGAGTCATTAAATAACTATGGCTTTGCTTACCATAGCATTTCATTTAAAATAGATAAAAAACAATCTTTTATGTATACATACAAAAAGGAAAACGAAAACATGATTTGGGGCCCAGTTTTTCTCTTTAATCAATAGCACTCACCTTGATGTGAAACTCCAAGTTTTCATCCATGGAATAGATGTGGTCAAAGATGTCATGGGCAATCCTTGGGATGATCCCCATGAGTTGAGGGTCATGTAGCTTCCCCTAGTGAGGGAAAAACACAAGCACAGGCAGCTAGAGTGCCAGGAAACATGTGGAAGAGAGAAGGAACCAAGCTGGGTTTCATAACAGAACTCCATGGAAGAGGGAGCACCCCCCCTCCACACACACACACAGTCAGATCCTTGGAGGTCCCCCTGACGTGCCAACAGCCCAAAAGTTCATGGAAATAACTCACCGTGTTCCTTTTCACCCAGCAAAAGAGAGCTTGTTCTGTCAGGTTCTGGGGCTTGAAAATATTTTCTCCAGGGGCCACTCAGGGCAGCAAATCATTAAATCATTATATGTGGTGAGAGTGTGGGTAGGAAGGAGGAGGGAAGGAAGACAGGAGAAGGTCTGGGATTATATGGTAACTATCACATACTAAATGTGGTTTTTGTTTTGAAATTTTTACAAACTGATCCAAATGTGTAAGTCCAAATTAATTTGCTTTAATAAAGCCAACTTGAGAGCTGACAGACATTGATAGACTGATAGTCATCACTGCTCAAAAATTTAACAATAATTATTCTAGGAATACCTTCAGTATCACCTCACAAACCAATCAAGAAAAGCCATTTTATCAATTTCTTAAAAATCTGTAATTCCCAGCCTGAAATGTTACAAAAAATTTTTAGCTGGTTTCTTTTTAAATTTTTTGCTATTTCTAATATTTAAATTCACTTGTAAGATATTCTCTTATTCTTTTATCCCCCTTTTTTCTACCGAAGAGGCCCAGCCCTCCCTTTCCCATGCAGCCAGCAACCATCCTCCAACCCTAAGGGATTTGAGGGATATTTCATCTAAGGGATGAAGGGATAGATGAATTTTTCTGTGATTTGAGTTCTATCACTAAATCCATTTTTAAAGATCCAGATTTGCTGCTTCTGAAGACTTTCAAAAAAATATGCCACGATATCTGAAAGCAATCCCCAAACAAGAGCTCTAGAAGTATTTAAACAGCAGCCTCAGCAAGGACTTCCAGAGACCCTTCCTTACTCCCATGCTCCAAGTTCTGTCCTGTTCCCTGTTAAACCACACATCAATGCACAAACACGAACTCTGAAAGTCTAAAGTAATCATTGGCAAGAAGAGTCTTCAGAAAGTTCTAAAACTCTAGGATCTTCAGAAAGTTCTAAACTCTAGGAAAAATGGAACTGGAAGAAAAGTACAAAACCCATTTACTCTTCTCTCAGCAAACTTTACCAACACTAGGACTCACACCCTTGTTCTAAAATCTGCCCGACACCTGGAAGATCTGCTTTGTTTTCTTCAGTGAGATCTTCTGTATCCTTCGGGGGTTCACCACATAGTGCCTCTCTGACAGGCTGACTCTGAAGCCAACAATCTGAATTACCAAAAGCAAGAAATCATGTGGACTTAGGCGCTAAGCACTTCCGGTTCTGAATCCTCCTTTGCACACCTGATCCACCTTCCACTCCATTGAAAGCAAGAGAAAGGCTGAATTTAGATACATCTGGGCCCTGGCAAAGCTCTTTCACCTGGGAATGCCCTCACATGTTAAGGATCCTAAATCCTGTGATGTGTTTATGTGGCTTTTTGACGGTACAGCCCCTGAAGGCAAGATGGCCAGTGCATATGTATTTCTTCTCATTGCTTATGACGCTAAGTACGGTGTCTCCTGCATCGAATTATTGTAGAAGTTAAATTAAGCAGTATAAAGAGAGGGTTAGAAATGATAAATGTTAGCATTATATTATTCAGCTCATATCAGGTTCTCATTAAGCAGTCGTCAAGGTTTATTTGACCTGAAGAGTCTGAAAATACATTTCTATCCCAGACCATGACTAGAAATCTCAGGAAAACAGCCCTCAATGACTGAGACTCAGAATCTCTCAAATGTTGGTAAGCTTACTTCTCATAGGCCGTTGTAAACATAAAATATTGGGCCCCACAGGCTCAGGACTGTGTAAATTGCTGGCAGAAATGACATGGACTGTGAAAACACAGATCTCTGTCCAGTCAAATTTTGTGATACCACTGGACCAATCCACCTTGGAGATCTGAGGAGTGCCCCCCATGCTCCCCACAGAACCCTTCAATAATCCATCATAATCCTTTAGCTTCTACTCAGTGGTCCACAGACAAAGAAAGATGAGAGATAATCCAAAAGTCATTTATAAATGACTCAAGTCTGTTTCCCTAGATGCTTTCCCTTCCAAAAGATTTATCTTTCAATTGATTCCTAGCTTATACAAATACTGGCATCCCTTTGTTTGCCTTTGTCAGGGTAAGAACCAAGGCAGAACCAGGGATGAGTCTGGGACACTCCCTGTGTTGTTTCCCTGAGGCCCACACCTAAAAATCACATGAGAGGGCAGCACATGTGTATTTGGAGAAGGCGTAAGGATACCTCCCATTCCCATGGTTATAGAAGTACTACTCAAATCTACCACAGGTTCCCAGGCTGGGATGCTTGATCTAGCTCATAAACCCAAGTGTGGTGAAAACTGAGCCTTTATGTTCAATAAACTGAGCCTGTCAAGACAATCTGTGTGTGTGTGTGTGTGTGTGTGTGTGTGTGTGTGTGTGTGTGTGTGTGTTGGTATACGTGGTGTATGGAGTGGATGTGTGTGATGTATGTAGTATGTGGGTGTGAGTGGTGTTGGGGGGAGTTTTGATGTGTGTGTTGTGTATGTATGAGATAGGTGTTTCATAAAGGTCTTCACTCCTTCTTGCAAATAAAATACACATCTACACATACGCAGTAGTCACCTTAGGCAATGAAAGGTGGTAAAAAAGCAGAGAGCTGTGGAAATTTAGAGCACAGGAGAGTCCTTTCCAGCTGGGGTGGTATTGGGATGGCTTAGTTGAGGGACGACAAATCTTGAGAGAGGAGGAAGATGAGGATGGGCAAAGGGGATGCAGCAGGGATCCTGAGAGGACAGCAATGTGGCCCAGGAACTGAAGAATACTAACCGAGGCTACCTTCCAGATAGCCAGGACTACTTCAGTTGGCTGAAGGATTGGGATGGATTTGGGTAGGAAAGGAATGTCCCACTTCATCATCCTTTTTTCTCTCAGAAAACAAAAAGAACATTTTTATACTTGTATCCTATATAATCCTCTTCAAAAACTTCTCCCACTTCTGAACGTGGCCTTCTCAGGGCATGTATGAAAGAAGAAACCAGACGCAGGCCATCAGCCACAGAACAAGACTCCCTTTGTTCTAGCCCCAGGTGCCTCCTCAACCTCCCAAGCAGGACAGTTTCCTGAAACACTTAAGATGGGAAAGCAGGCAGCCTGTCAGCTCACACAAGCACCAATGCACTCGAACAGGCTCATTAAAAATCATTTGGCAGGCTCAGCCCAGCAGTGGGGGGGTTGCACCATTCCACGGGCTCCAGGTGTCCCTTCGGGCAGAAGGAAAAACAGCGTGTCTCCATCCATCTAAATCTGTGCCAAAGAGGGCCACAAAGCAAAGCCCAAGGCCCACAGAAGCTCTTCCCAGCACCACAGGCCAAACAAAGGTCCAGCCCTCTCTTCCCCATATAGCCAGCACCCCCAGCAGCCCTCCTTCGACCCAGCCCTGGAACACTGGCTGCACATGCCAGGGCCCAGTGCATGCCAGTGTCCTACCAAGCCTGGCATCAGCACCGTCAAGTGTTTCCTATTTTTACTTAGAATCCACCTTAAATGCTGCATCTTCAGAAGCTAATCTTTCCAATTTTATGTAGGCTTATCTGTTTGTTCTCCTCAATAGAAGGTAATGGAATCACCACTGGATGTCAGACCAAAAATGAGGGGATTAAAATGAAAAACAGCTTTAAAATGTGAGAGCTCTGTCCATTCAGGGAGTTAACATCCCCTTCCAAAAGCCTTTGAGAGATCACAATGTGTAATTCCAAATACATAAAATCCGTTCAGATGGTGCAAGCCCTGCAGGGTTTTGTTTTGTTTTGTTTTGTTTTTTAATTTAATTGCATTCCGGGGTCCTGGATTTTTCAGTCTCCCACAGTCTCTACGACTTCAGCTCGGGGCTTCTCTTTTCCTCTAAAATATCCCCTACCTTCTCTTCAATCTATAATTACTGGACAGAAAGAACCAGACTAAGTGTGTGTGTTGGGAAGGGGGGTGTCTAGGAAAGTTTCCAACCCATTCCTTCCTTCTAGGATCTTCGGAAGTCATAGTAAAGAAAAACGCCCCTTGCAATCAACCTTTTAAAACTGATGTGGATGAAAAAACTACAAAATTTGCCTAAATTTACTGTGAGAGTAACCTGCACAGAAGCCAGTTCCCCTAAGGTCCCCAGCTGAGCGTGCTGCAGGACTTGTAAGGCTCATGCTGTGAGAGGCCCAGGGCTCCAGGCATCCACATTTAACAAAACCCCTCCTATTTTCATTTTAAAGAGCTGGCATTTGTCTTTGCCATCTCCTTACACCCACAGATTCGCCCCTCCCCAACACACACACACACACACCACAAACTATGATTTTACTCTGGGGACAGGTCTCTCCTTTGATGGTTTACATTTTAAATTTCTGACATTGAGCAAATACCTTGTATTTTCCAAAGATGAATTAATCCCAAAGCTAAAAAGGTCACTCTTGTAAACAGTCCCTATGATTTGGGGGATTCTAACTACCGCATTTTCTGTTGTTATTGTGTATATTGTTTGGTAATGTTCCAAAAACCTAGAGACTGATGGACATCATCATGAGATGCGCCACCCCCACCACCATGCCTTATGGCCTATGAGGGAGCTTTTGTCATGGCTACTGGAGTTGCTGGTACTTGGGAAACACAGAACTGCAACTTTGCTAGTGCCTGGAAGGTTAAGGGTTTGGGGTCCAGTAAGAGGCAGGCAAGAGGATGTGCCTGCATCTCCAAGGGGTATTGCATGAGAACATGAGATGCAGAGAAGAGCGTGACCAAGGCTCAGGTGCAGGGAACGGTCCTGCTCCGCCCAGAAGCAGTGGTAAACAGATTTCATGCTTCCTTTAATCTGTGCGATCTCGGAGCCACTGTCCCCCATCCCCCCCGAACGGTTGAAAGTGAGTCAACACAACAGAAATAAGATCCCCCAGAGTCACACGCACACTTAGAATGTGTGTGAGCAGAACATCAGAGCCCCAAGGGTTTTAGCCTTGTGCCTTTGAAATCTCCTCTTCAATAGGAATGATTCATAAGCTAAACCAGTTCTGTGGCCAACGTCTCTCAGTAACACTCCCAGGAGGGAACTGTAAATGAAAATCCTAAGCTTGAAGGATCAAGGATTCATCTTACCCTGCTGCTTGTAAGCTGAATTCCCCAAACTTCCTCTGCACAGTGTCTTATAATAACCACTCTTCTACTTCTGCTCACCTGTCAGGAGGGCCCAGCCTATAGAAGAGCATCCGGCCCTGAAGGGCTTACAGGAGGCCATGGCAAAAAAGCAGGAAAAGAAGAGGTAAAGGGGGCCAATTTTATCTGTAAATGTGTCTTGTCTGGAAGACAGCTACAGGCTCCACAGCCAACACTCTGAGTTGGGCTCACACCTTCACACCCCCACAGAGGTCAGGTGTGCATGCTAATGACAGAGGAGGCTGCACGCTAGTTCCTACTGTGCATGCAGGGGGCTGGGTACACTGGATGGCCCAGCCCACACACAGGGCTGGCCACTGTCACCTCGAGGCTATCAATTTAACAAGTGTTTTTATCGAACCCCTCCTAGAGGAACAGCCGCTGTTCCATGCACTAGAAACGTGAATAAACAGGTGAAGAAGACAATGATGATCTCTGCACTAGTGACGCCTACGCTTTATAGGATGGTGAAATTTTGCCTAGTTGTAGGATCTTTAGAATTTTCAACCCAATTTGGAAGCTTAAAATTGTGTGAAATCATCCCCTTTTAAGCACTGCCTGCAATTAAAAAATACATATAATAATTTTTTAAAAAAATATAAAAACACACGGTGTGCAGACAGAATAAAAATATGTCTCTGGGCTGAATTTGGTCCATAAGCCAACTTCTTTGCATCTCTGTCCTACGGTTTTTTATTTCCTCTGAGGAAATTCGCCTCCCTAGAGTGGCCCTTCTTAGCATAAATGATTCTCACAGCAGACTTTCTCAGTGAGATTAGGGCCGCAGTCCCTAAGGATACTCACACTACTGTTTAGTTTACTGATGAGTATTTTAAAAGAATGTACTATTACCATTTTGAGAGAGCCACAACAAAGGATTTTCTTTGAAATTCTGAACTCCTGGGATTTTATTATCATTATTTTGAAACTCCACAATGCCAAAATGAATTGGTCAGACATGACCGGTCCCTTTACTGTCTCTCTCTCACATCACAGTCAGGGGGCTGCAGGCACCCAAATGTGGCTGGTCGTACAGAGCTACTGAGCCACCCGTGGGGATGCTTCCCAGCACGCTGCAATCATACCTCCATTGTGTGCGTCTTTCCTGACGAGGTCTGTCCATAGGCAAAAATAGTCCCATTGTAACCTTCAAGGACATCTGCAGGCAAGAAAAAGAAATTAAAATTAACTCATTACTTTGATCGTATGCTTGTGTTGGTTCCATATTTAAAATCACATATTCCAAATGGCCCATCTCATTTTTCACACAAATGATGTATTTCAACTACATTTGCATTTTAAGTAGAATTGTGAGATAAAAGCAGAAATGAAGGCCTCCACTGTTCCCCAAATAAGAAATGTAGTCACATTCCTACAGAATATATTAATGAAGAGGCAAAAAAAAAAAAAAGAAAAAGACACAGACACTCTCTCCCAGTAACGTCAATATTAAGACAGATATCGAGCAGTACACTTCCTTTTCAGCAGAAGATACTCAAGTTTTCTTCTTTAAATTGATCTCCTGAGATCAGTTCGAGGAAGAAAAACATTATCCGTGTCCTGACTCTCTGGAGTGAGGTATAGAATAGAATTTCTTTCCCAAAGATCTGATTTGGGTCAGTTGAAATGCCGGCGCAGGCGAGCTCCTGGGGGAGGTTTTTCAGGAAGGCGGCCCGGAGCCCCTTGAGAACGGAGCTAGTCCAGAACTGGGGAGAAGGACAGGGCCCCACTCTGTAAACCCAGCCACACGGGGACAATCCGATCAGCCCGGAAACGCCGGGGACCTCAAAGTTAAGACCTCTGTATTTTCAGTGACGGTGCTGGCAGGATGGCCCAGGCCCATCAGCATCGGGAATTTCTTTTAATTACACAATGAGCACACTGTGCAAAGCCCCCCACTCGGCAGGCCGGCTTCCATTTCACACAGGGACAAGGGGAAGCATGCGGACAGATGCTGCTCCACACTGGAGATTATCTGTGGGAATTCCTTCAAAGCAGCTGAGGTGATTAAAATATATTTACCACTCGTTTCCCTCAGTCCTCCTTCATCTGCATCAAATCACCGAAAGGTAAATAGTACATGATTAATATCCCTGACCCAACAGCTGTACATAAGGGAAGGAAGTCTCATTCCTGAAAGGACAGTGGGGGCGATAAGAAACGTACTCACATTCTTACAGAATATGTTAATGAAGAGGCAAAAAAAAAAAAAAAATGTGGCAATTCCCTTCACCACCTCTCTGAGAAACCCCCTACTGAGGTGTCCTCTTCAGGGCCCCTGGCTCCTTCCCTCATCACGCCAGGCCACCAGCTCCAGCTAGTTCAGGCCCTGATTAGGCTGGTTTGTTTGTGGTTTTGATCTCTCCGAATTTCATGCCAGTTAATTTTTGTTGTTTTGTTAGCTTTTCTAAAACTTTTTTCAATTTACATGTTATTGATCTGAGGTTACTAGAGTGTGAACTGGGGTCACAAAAGAAAGTGGGATTTTCCTTCAAGAAGCTTAAAAAAAAAAAAGAGAGAGAAAAATTCAGCAGCAGGATTTTTTTTTTTTTTTTTTTAAATCCTAGCAGCCCTCCAGAGTTTGTGTCAAGCTATATTGAGAGAGAGGAGGGAGAGAGAGAATGTTCACACATATCAAACTTCTGGTAATGGTTTCCTTGGGAACAGAAGCAAAAACTTGAAGACCACAATGTAAGGGTTGGGGGTTCAAGCTTCAGTTTTCACAGAAATGCCAACTTGCTCAGAGAACAGATTCAGAGTGGAGAGCCTCTAAATGGCCATGAATGCAACGTGCTTTGAGGGACACAAAGAAAGAGGCTCCCATCCTGCGGCTGTACCTTTAAAATTCTATATTCGTGGCATAAACAGCTCCGGGCAGTTGGAATGCTAGCCACAATCGCAGCACTAAAGCTTCTGTTTATCAGAAATCAAACATCTCTCCCTAAACTCAAAGGGCCTCCTTACCTCCAGCCCCGGTGTAGGAGGCACTCTGGGACCTACCAGCCCAGGCATTATTAGATCCGGGGTAAGGAGGCCAAGGCCAAGGGTCCAGCTCCCTCTGCTCCTTCTCACAGGCCACCGGCGACCCTGCAAGTGCACATGCACGCAGAAGGGGGCTCTGAGCAACGTGCGGCACCCTAAAGAAAACCCAGCTCAGAGTCAGAGCCCCACGGACAAGAGAAAACCCGGCACGTTTCCTCTACTGCCACCAAGCAGCGTGGCCGGTGCACCTAAATTGGGCACCCCTGGACAGGGTCCACACCTCTAAACCCAACTTCCCTGGGCAGAATGTGCAATCCTACTAACTCCTAGTTAGCTGCTGCTGCCAGGACTCCTGCAGGGTGAGGCCTGCGACACACACGGGAAAACAAGAGCTCAGGGAGAGCACTACTGGTCTTAGAGCAGGGAGCTAAGGAACACAGGAGGCTCTACTTGGAGAATCCTTGACTGTTTGTTGCTGCTATTTCAACACGGAGTGCAATTATTATTATTATTTTTTTTTTTTAAGGAAAAGAGAGTACATAAAACTCCATCAGAACAAATGCTGCTTAGTCTTTGAAGTACTATTTACAGTCATGTTACAATTAATTCATTGTTGCAGAACCTATCTCTAGTGTTCAAGGCTGAACAGAGCCGATGCCTTCTTTCAACTCAACTGTGACTTAAATGGTTATTTTTTAAAAAGATAGAAAAAGCTCTTTGAACCCAGTGTTCTCAATTTTCTTCCAAACTCCAGGTTGTAGGGGTTGGTGTGTTTACCCAGTCTATGTCTGATTATCAGGGGAGAGGAGAGGCAGGAGGGAAAGTGAGGGCACACTGTGCATTTGGGTTGGACCGCTGGGATGGAGGAGGCCAGAGCACACGCCCAGGAAAGCAGGATGGGAGAGCACCACGATGAGCCACACAGCAACCCCCACCCAACCCTAATAGAAACAGCCCACAAAAAGGCACTTTCATCACACTGAATGACAGTTCCTGGGCCCAAGGAAAGCATTTGTTTCAGAGCCTCTCCCATAGCAGAATGACTGTTTCTGTGCACCAGCCGCAGAGCCAGGAACCAGCTCAGCCAGACAGAACCTTGCTTTGTGATGGGCTCTGGCGTGATATGACCTCAGCTCACACCACAAAGCTAGTGGCACCCACAAACACAGCACACATCCATCCGGCAGCCAAGCAAACCCAAAGAGAGGTTCTGCAGCAGGTGGGAAGAGCCTTCTCACCTCCAGAGAGGGGGACGAAACTTGAAAATACTTCTCGCCTCTCGCTATAGACTTCAGAAGCCAGTTTTCCACCCTAGATTTTGCTAGTTCTGAGTCCAGATCTTCCTAGAGCAGAAGAGTTAATTCTACTGTTGGGTAAGAATTTGAGGAGGATGTAATCATACAAGTTCCTGAGAAGGCATGGCCTCGTACCAACTCCCCAAATGAAATGGCGGCCTGTCAGTGGCAATAGTGACAGACAAGTCATCCCTGCCTTGGAGCCCTAACTAAGGCTCTGGCTGTCCAACAAACTACTCAAGTAGGCATATGCCTCGAGGCAGCCCTGCTGAACACTAGTGGCAGACCAGAATGGTGGGCCAGTCAGTCTGAAGGGAAGGGCATTCCTGCATCTTCAGAATGGACATGCATCTCACTGTTGGGAGACAGGCAGAGCCACCCCAAGGCCACCCGCCACAATCTCTCCCTCTCTCTCCTCTCTCCTTTTCCCGTGGCCATTCCTATCCCTGTCTTTTTGCAATGCTTGGTTAATAGTCCATGTGGCCTGATAGAAAAGTAACAACTCATAAATAGTTACTAAATGCTCATTATGAGCTCTCCAGAAGAGTGGGAGCAGAATAGTGCAGAAAAATTCAAGGAAGACAGGCAAAACTCAGGCTCAAATTCCAGCCTTACCAACCCCTAACTGACCTGGGCGAGTCATCTAACTTCAAATCCCTCTTTAGTACAATGGAACCAATAATGCCCATACCTCATAAAATTGCTGAGACTTAAAATACGATAACATACGTAAAGTGCATAGATGGTGCCTGACAGATAACAGTACCCAAATAAATATACTTCTTCTTAAGAGGCACATATAATATAATAAAACATATTTATAGTATCCTGAGCCTGAAACTTGTCAGTGAATCCACATTGCCTGGAGGATAAAGCCCATCCAATTCCACCGAACTCTGATCTAGCCTATCTTTTTAAGTTCTGGCCCCTCAGTACCTTGTAACACTCTAAGTTGCCCAAACAAGCCATATAATCTGTGTTTTATGATTCTGCCGTTCCTTGTGCTTGTACAGAATGTAGACATATTCTACAGTCTACAGGACCCAGCCTTTCCAAGAAGCCTTCCTTAATTCTCTAAACCTCATCCCCATTCACCAAAATCAGTCCCCTGTGACTTCCTTCCGTGGTTCCACAGCATTCTGCACACAGCCAGTTTAAAGCATGTATTCCCCACAGGTACAAGAACTATGGGTGCCTCCGTCTCTTTCCCTATCCGTGAAGCTTTCTGCAGACAGACTTTTTTTTTTTTTTTTAAGATTTATTTATTTGACAGAGATCACAAGCAGGCAGTAAGGCAGGCAGAGAGAGAGAGAGGAAGGGAAGCAGGCTCCCTGCTGAGCAGAGAACCTGATTCAGGGCTTGATCCCAGGACCCTGGAATCATGACCTGAACCTAAGGTAGAGGCTTTAACCCACTGAGCCACCCAGGCGCCCCTGCAGACAGTCTTATATACCTTGGTGACTCTAATCCCTAGCAGTGCTTACTCTACATGGTAAATACTTACTATCTCTGCATAAAGGAATGGGTAAAAGAAACAACCAAACAAACGAAGCCTAAAGAAATCAGATCTAGAAAACAAGGAACCACCTCCTCTAGCCCTGTACAGTCCACATCAAGTTAATTTGAAAGGCAAATGCCCAGAGTGACTTCTGTAGAGTGGGAAATAGTTCCCCGTACTTCAACAATAGCAAGCAGTAACCATGGTTTTTAATTCCTAGCGCGTCCACAGAAACCTTCCTATTTACCATGCTGAGAGTCACAAATCCTATAAGCTTTTCTGGAAGAAACAAAGAATTCTACATACTCTTTCAGACAACATTTTGAAAAACACACACCAGACAAAGATGGGAATGTGGGAGGTACCAGAATTCTAGAATCAAATGTTTGAAATATGTTTTGAAAAACACAGTGAAGTTGAAGGGAATGAAAAAACCAAGAGAGAAAAAAAGCTATCCAGTTAAAAGGAGTCTTCCTGATCTCAAAAACGTTCAGGGTTCAGAAAGCCTTGAAAGAAACGCTTGCAAGTCCACTACATTACCATGACTCGTGGGGGTTGCGGTGGCCTTCAGAAGTTATCTGATTGAATTTCTGGCCTCTAGAAAGAGAGACCCCTACAGTGCCACCTTCCTTTCCTGATTTAAATAGGGCTTGTCATGGCAAAAGAAACCTCAGTTGTGAGCTGCCTGGATGGCTCAGTGGGTTAAGCGTCCGCCTTTGGCTCAGGTCACGGTCCCGGGGTCCTGGGATCAAGACCTGCGTCGGGCTCCCTGCTCAGCGGGAAGCCTGCTTCTCCCTCTCCCACTCTTCCTGCTTGTGTTCCCTCTCTCACTGTGTCTCTCTATCTCTGTCAAATAAACAAATAAATAAAATCTTAAAAAAAAAAAAAAAGAAAGAAACCTCAGCTGTACCTATTAACTATTCTAAGGAATTTTTTCTTATACATCTGTGTTTTACCTTGCTGATGCAGAAATAACATAGCCACTTCCCCTCATGCTAGCCTCAGTGGGTATTAAAAAAAGTTAAATTAGGCCTTCATCACCCCCCATTAGTTTCCTTTCAAGGAAGAAGAAAGAACTCTTTGTTACAAAATGAGTATGCTCATATTACATTTACAGCATCTGAAAACTATCTGTTTATCATATCATGTCAGAGCCTAATGTTACCCTAAGTGGTTTTCTTTGTGGCTCACCATATATTGGGCCTCAAGTGACCCAGTTAGGTCACATCTTCACAAGAACTTTCCAAGGACTGCCTATTTCTGACATTTCATACTACAGAAAAACCCAAACACTGAAAGAGACCCAACTTCTCTAGTAATGAAGACTGAAAGGTTATGATTGTTTGTTAATCACGGGATTTTTGAAAAAGGGAGTGCATCCATCTCTAATTACAACATCAACTTAGAGATGTGTTGAAATGGACCTCATGCTTAGCACAGCACGTGGTAAATACTATTTGCTTCTGATAATGGAAGGGGAGAGAAAAAGAAGGAAATTATGGCTCACATGTGATTAATCTTACTTTAATAAAAATAAGGAAGAGTCTGCTTATAGAGAGAGAGAAAACATTTTTAGACAGGAAGAGATACAAGAGAATAGAAGTAGAGAGAAGACAAACATTACCACCAGATATAGGCCCACAGTATTAATTCAAGAAGAGCCCAAATTCAGGCATGTTTTTCTCTTCTGTTTTCTGTATCATCTTCCTGTGAAGACCTTCAAAATCAATTGATGTCTGCAACAGGAACATGAATAACCATACACCTCAGTGAGGAACATTACGTTCCATCTCCCACGCAGGAGCCCAGGGTCAGAACTAATCGAACAGATGCACCCAGGGTTGGCTTTCAGGAATTTCAAATACTTAGGTTAGTCATCTTCCAAAAACAAGCACGTCTTGCATGACAAGGTGCTTTTTGAATTGTTTTTGCTTTTTTGCTCTTTAAATCTACAGCTACCTATAAAGGTGGAAACATCAGGACATTTGAAAGCACAGGGGCCGTAGCATTCAGAGTTGAAGGTTAAGATATGAAGATGAAAAACAAAGTAGCAGGAGATGCTCCTCAGTTCTGTCCAGATGGCGAGCTCCCCCAAGGCAAGCTCCAGCCTGCCCCTGATTTGAAAGGGCAAGGTAGAGCAATGTGTAAATTGCTTCATCTCCCTGCTGTTATTTTGACGCAGAACCTTCAGGGCCAAGGCCAGTCCCAGAGAAAAGGGCTGATCTCTGAGATGATTTTAGGCTTCAGGCTATCTATTTGGAGGAACAAATGTTGGTATCTGGGTGGAAAGGTGGAAAGTGGGTTAGAAAGAAGTATGTTTAAGAAATGCTGAGTAGCAAGAAGAGCTCAATAACCAACAAGGTAATGTGATTTTATGGTACTGTAGAAAATTCCTTGATGCCCGAGAATTTTCCACGTGTAAGGCTTCTCCCTGAAGAGACAGATGCCCAAAATGAATCAGCCAAAAACAGACAACTGGAGCATCAGAAATACATATATTTTTGTCTCCTTCAAAGTAAAAAGGAGGTCTTATACCTAAAGCAGTATTTTAAAACCATTACAGAAATAGTGTGACCATAGCTTTTAAGCTTCTAGGTGGCAGAATAACTCTGCCAAAAAGGTGACAAAAGAAATAAAGAAATTTCCTTGGCAAGGAGGTATAGAGAGGTGCGAGAACTTGCTTGACATCATAGCAAATCAGAGTCAGAGCTCGGGCTACAATTCAGTGTTTCCAATTAGCAGGCCTCTGCTTATAGTCAAGGCACTTTGAGTCCTAGGCTGCAAATATCACTAATGTTTTCAATTACTCTGAAAGGCCAGGGAGGAAATAAAGAAATAGCACTTACCTTTGACAATTTGCTTTGCACACGCATTGTAAACCTGCTCTTGGGTCGTGCTGGGAGGCAGCACTCTATCGAAGACATATGGCTTCCCTTGCTAAAAAAGACGAAAGGAAAGGGCAGAGAAAACACATTAGAAGTTTAGGAATAAAAAGCACTAATAGTAGTTAGACCACAGGCACTAAATCACAAACCCTATCCTTGAAGGCATTTCCGTACTAAGGCTAGGGAATTATTACAATGCAAATCCACACGGACAATGGGCATATGTGTTTTGCATACTGAGAATCTGAGAAAGAAAAAAAAAGATGTTTTGTTCTTTTTTTTACTTAAAACATATTCTGATGAAAAGTGGGCTGAGGCTTCATTCATTCATTCATTTTGTGAGGCTTATTCTGAACCAGGGACTAGACTAGAGGCTAACCCAATCAGAAAACAGCGCACCTATAAAGCATTCAATCAAGTGTGGCAGAAAGCTAATAAACAAGAAGGCAAACACCCAGGGAAACACAAAATGCCTAGGTACAAAATAATGGGACAGACGGGATGACAGAGAGAGCCAAGCAGGCCTCTCTGAGAAAATGCCAGTTCGGTGGATCTTTAAAGGATCGCAGAAAGACAGAGGCAAGTGAAGAGCCATGAGAGAACAGAGCAGACCTAGCAGAGGTCAGAGCAGGCAGGAAGGGGTCTGGAGTGTTCAAGGAACCAGAGGGTGGCACAAAAAGAGGTGAAAAAGGAAATCAGGAGCCACTTAATACAGGGCACTGTTAGCCAAGAGAATGTGCTTGGATTTTATTCAATGGGAAGACAACATGATCAAATTTAAGAAGCTGCTCTTAATAGGAAGATATTATTGTTTTGTATCCCAAAGAATTCCAGTGCTTGCTTTATATGTATACGTGATGCCTTAACTCAGTGGAGGCCTCCAAGTCACAGAGGGTCCTTCTGCACAATAAATCAAGTGACTTCCCCAGGTGTAAGATCTTAGGGTTTGGTCTGACACTGGGCTGTGTGCCATTCAAGGCAGTAATGGTCAGAAGGGAACGGAAGCAGCTCTGTCCTGGTCTATGTGAGCCCTCACCCCCAACCACTCAACGTTCACCAAGGAATTATTGGGTGTTTATATGCCAGGTACAGTTCTGAGGACCATGGAAAGTGGTGGCTGAGACAGACATAGCCGCTTCCCAGGGAGAACCACCCCTCTCAACAGTGCCTTCTTTCCACCACCACCACCACCACCACCCGGACAAGGGGTGGTCCCCCCCCACCCCTCCCACAGCCTGATCCATCCTCGCAGCCCTTTATCTTCATTTCCCCCAAGTGGTTAGAGGGGCTGGCAGGAGAAGGGCAGGAAAGAGGAGAGCCCAGAGTCTCCTTCACCCTGACTGACCCTGTACCTCCTACATGTGGCTTGGACACCAGGAAACTCTACCCTAGGGCAGTCCTGCCAATGCCTCAAAAAGATAACTGCACACGAGGAACCCAAAGACAAGGCTTGTTACATCCTATAATCTTCACACAGAGGTACGCAGCTGTCAGACTGGCTTGGTGTTTTCCTCATTCATGACCATGGTGCTGCACATAGGGAAGGTCCTATGCTTCAGGCGTTGTTTGAGCTTTTAGTCTTTGAAAATGGGATTGAGCCAGCCAGATAAATGAGCTACTTCCAGTTTGGTCTCAGAAGAAATGGATAATTTTGAGGTACCATAAAAAAACTTATTTAAGTAGCCTCCATGCCCAACATGGGGCTTGAACTCACAACCCCAAGATCAAGACCTGAGCCAGAATCAAGAGTTGGGTACTTAACTGATTGAGCCACCCAGGTACCCCAAGATTTTATTTCTATAAAAAGCAGCAGAATCAGTCATCTTGTTAAAATTATGGAAAGGGGTTATTTTCCAATGTTTTGTTCCCAGCAAGTCTCATTCCATTAGCAAACCAAGTATTTGACTGAATAACCAAGAGAACGTTTCTTACCCCTATCTATCGCCAACTATCAGCCCACTACATTCCTATTAGCCTTATCTATTCATAAAATTAACTAAATGTCAGTAAAGTAAACGGTCAGAATAAACATGTACAGAGTTTGCGTAAGTATTTGTCATCCATTGAACCTTCTTGAAAGAAACTGTAGCTTTGCTTAATTTCAAACAAACCCATTATTTCTCCAAACTTGATAAGAATCACCAAAATAAACCATCTTGTTTCCAGAACAATCATGATTTGGGTTTTGGAGAAAATGCACTTACTACAGCAGAAAAGTGGCCTATTAATTTGTAGTAAATTGTACAATAAACAGAAGACCCCCCCAACTTTGCCCTTCAATCTAAATTGTTAGATGGAGTACATTATATATTCACTTGAAGAGAGACCGAAAGCAAGAAATCTCCATTACTCATTTAAATAATATCATTTATCAAGTGACAACCACAATACAACAATTTTCCATAAACTGAAGTTAACTCCCAAACAAACACTGCCTTCGAGAAGAGAAAATTTAGAAAATGATTTGTTTTGAGGCTTCTCATCAAGACTGGAATATAAAGAAGTTAAAAACGTAAGTGTTTTTGTCCTTACATGCACTGAGTTGGCTATATAGGCTTTTAAGTGAACCTTAGACTCCTGAAATTAAAATTGAGAATTAAAATTTAGCTACAGATTCTTTTCAAGAACTGATTTGTGGGGGCGCCTGGGTGGCTCAGTGGTTGAAGCCTCTGCCTTCGGCTCAGGTCGTGATCTCAGGGATCAGGAGTCCCGCATCGGGCTCTCTGCTGGGATCGAGTCCCGCATCGGGCTCTCTGTTCAGCGGGGAGCCTGCCTCCTCCTCCTGTCTCTCTCTGCCTGCCTCTCTGCCTACTTGTGATCTGTCAAATAAAAAAAAAAAAAAAATCTTAAAAAAAAAAAAAAGAACTGATTTGTGGTCTAGTCATTCAAGCTATATATAAAACAGCCATTTAACAAAACAACGACAACAAATGACTCTTTGCTGCTTTGGTAATGGTATGAAAATCTCACAAACTGTAAAAAAGACTTCAGGAAACCCCCTCTCTCCTGACCCCCAGGAGAAGAGAGTCTCCCTATTTCTGACCCCACTGTGGCTGACGGTTTCTGTGGACAAGCCCTGGGTGCAGCGTGCTCCGGCTGTCACTAAATGTGCAGCTACGGAATACATCTTTCAATTAACGTTTTAATACGGGTGCTAAGTGCTAACAGTCGGAACTTAATGGTGAGGGCTCCGATTACTCCTGGAGACACTTTCCTTTCCAGGCTCCTCATCAGCATGTGGTTCTGCCATCTCTCTGGCTACTCTCCGCCAGAGTCCTTTGCTGGTATCTCTTTCTGACTTCTAAACGACAATGTGTCCCAGACTCAGACACCTCAGCCTCCTCTCTGTCTACATTCTTGACCTTCACATAATTTAAATGAACATTTCAGGCTTCAAATCTCACCCATGCTCCAGATTCACATATTCAATCACCCACTGAACATTTCCACTTGGATTTCATTAGCCATCGAAAGCTTAACTGACAAAAAATGAATCATGTTTGAGTAAGAGACCAAAATTATCAAGTGTGTCCCATAGATTCCATATCCCAAATATATCCCAAATGGATCACAACCTCAACCCACGCCGCCATGGTTTCTCATCTGGACAGCAGCGATAGTCCCCTCACTGGTCTCCTTGACACCATTCTTGCTTCTAACAATCCAACTTCCACCTAGCAGCCAGAGTGAGCTTTCCAGAGCTATAAATCCGATGGTATCAAATCCTCCCTTAAAAACCTCCAGTGGCTTCTGTTAGACGAGACCATCTTCACCCCCACCTCCTGCATTCTCTGCCGCCTACTACAGTGTAGCCCACTGGACTTCTTTATCTGTTGGCTCCTTCGTCAGTGGATCCCGTGGCTCAGGGCCTTTGCTCTTCACTTCCTTCCCTTTCAAACTCTCTCACCGCGGGTCTTCAAGGCTCACCCGACATCTTTGTTCGGTTGTCTCTCGATCACCCTGCAGATGTCCACTCTACTTCCTCCTCCTTTGAGGGCTTCCGTGCTCCTCATTAAAGCAGTCTCACCTCCTGGCATCACTCTCTATCACATTAGCCTGTTCAGTTTGCTTCATAGCAATTAGTGTGTGACCTATTCTCAACCAATCAAATGAGCCACTACAATGAAAGCATTTAAGTAGCTACGACGGAAGCCATATACATCCCAAGAGCTCACTGCATGTAAGAAAACCTGCCACAATTTATGAAAGGAATCTGAAATGGGACACACACCCTGCATGTACATTACAACTAGAAATGAAATAATCCAGCTTTGCCACAAAAGTCTCCACAGACAGCAGCTAATTGCAAAGGAGCAGTCTAACTAAATAACTTTACCAGGATCACAGGCAAAAAATAACAGCAGATGGTTCTTACATTTTTATAGTTAAAATTAAAAAAATCAAATCACTTCTTATCAAGTTGTTGAGAGCAAAGTCTCCATGAACCATATGGCCTGCCTCTTAATTCACTTGACCCATTACCCAACAACCGTTCTCCAGCCTGGAAGGAATATTACTCTGGGAGATGGAGGAAAGCAAAAGACCCACTTCAGCGTTTAGAAGATGAGCACCAGGAGGGATGTTAAGGAAACTGAAATTAATTACCCAAGAAGAGGTCATGAAGAAGTAATCTAATAATCATCTCTAAGGCCAACCAAGGGTTGGGACCAAAGACTCCCAATGATTTGAATGATTTTTCTATTGTTACTAAGAAAGAAAGAAAGAAAGAAAGAAAGAAAGAAAGAAAGAAAGAAAGAAAGAAAAGGGAAGAGGGAGGGAGGGAGGGAGGAAGGAAGGAAAAGAAAGGGGGGGAACCCTTAAATTTCCAGAGCAAGATTTAAACTCACTCTGTGGAATTGTCTTTAGACACTGAGGGGTATTATGAAGAGGAATAGATTTCTGAGAACAATCATTAAGTCTCTGTGCCAGGTGACTGGCTTCATGTGACTTCCTTCCTGAAAATACAAGAGAAGACAAATTCTTTCAGCCTCTCCTGGCCACCTTCTCAGTGCTGTGTAACCGCACCAGCCACTACCTGCACCATCACCAAAC